AGGGTCTGAGACGCAGCCCCCTGGCCATGATACTACCACCCCACCCCTGCCAGCTCCCAGTAGGAGGTGCGCCCGGGCCACACTCACTTTGTCCCACGCGGAGAAGCACCTTCATGCCCCTGGTGAGGCACACACCTCCCTGCAGGCTCTCCAGGCCTTCCCGGGTCCCATCTGATGTGGCTGGGAGAGTCAGAGGGAGAAGCTGGCACTCCACAGTCTAGTCTCTATTCTGTCCCCATACCCTGGTCCCAACTCCACCCGAGGGTGTAAGATGTCTCCTTCAGCGTCAGGGGACCCTCCCTTGTCTGCCCTGAGGGTACCTCCCCACTTGACCCTGCTGTCCAGCAGCAGTACCAATTATATAGTAATCGTGGTGCGAGCGGAACTCGTGGCCCCAGAGGTTAGGGCTATACTCCTGGAACTTGATGGTGAAGCGGAGATCCAGGTCTGGCCGGTCACAAGTGAGCAGGAGGTTTGGGGCAGGAGGTGCCTCACAGCGCCGGCCCTGGGCACCCCCTACCAGATAGAGCTTGTAGAACTCATAATTAGGAGAAGAGTGGGGGCCAGGAGGCCGGGCCCGGGGGCAGAGCAGGTCTAGCCGGTCCCCAATCTGAGGGTAGAGCACGTAACCACCTTCTGCCTGAAACCTACAAGGAGGAAAACAAGGTGGACAAGGGAGAGCGGTGTCAGAGGTCTGGCCACCAGAGCTTTGCCCCTCTCGCCCCACACCCCTGCAAGACAGCCTTTGTCTGAGTGGAAAGTCTGTTCTGAGAGCCCTCTCTAAGGACTGTGCAAGCTCAAGTTGGAAGCAGCAGGAAGCCAGGCTCAGAGGTCTCCTGCCCCTTGGTGTGCCCAAATGCACTCTTCAGCCCGCCCTCACCACATGCACACTGCCATAGCTCGCTCCATCACCAGCCCCGTTGCCATGGCAACAGGATGCCAGTTACCAAGGAGCTGGCCTCTCTGGAACCACACAACCCACCCCTCTCGGGTGATTTCACTACTTCACGGCAGTCAACCATGGGGGCAGAGCCTCCCCTCCCCCAGGCTACCACCCAATTTGGGGGCTGTCAGGGCAAGAGAGGCAGGAAGGGTGTGGAGGGTGATTCAGACCAGTGTCCAAGTTAGCCATGTGACAGTAGGCAAATACTTGCTCTGGCAATGCCCCTAAATAAGGCTAGTGGGTACCAGGGTCTGGGGGGCCAGCTGCCCCAGACATTTCCCTGCTCCGTACAGCTCCCCTCCTAGGTCTCAGACTTTCACAGGAAAGTGTCCTATTGTCTTGGAAATGAAAGAGTTGGCTCTTCTAACCACAACCAACACAAGCCACATCTCCTTGGTCCAAGCATCCACTGATCAGCACAGCCCTTCCCTAAGTCCTTCCCTCAGCCTTAATGGCAGACCAGGGCTCAGAACTGGGCCTGGAGACTGCTGCTAAGTAGCTCCCCAGCTTCCCAAATGACCTACTCCCTCACACCCATCATCCCAAAGAGCCCCCAGAATACCTAAACTCCCTTTTCTCAACCCTCTCAAAATAAGCCTAACTTATGTCCTCAAGCTTATGTCCTGATAGCAAACTGCAGCTGGGAGTTGGTGGATAGGAGACTGAGAAGACATTTAAAATTGTACCTGAAGAGATATGGGAGGGAGGCGGCAAAGCAGAGAGAGGAAGAACAATAATCCTAGTTCTCCTCTAATGAGCATATAATATGTTCAAACACCTTACCTCTAATCCTCATAAAAGCTGCAGGGATTGAGAATACAAACGCTAAAGGTTAAGTGACATGCCCAAGGCCACACAGCTGAAAGCCGCACAGCTAGGATTAAGACCGGTTATTTGATGAGCTCTAATGCCCACCCCCTCCCCTTGTGGCCTCACACAGCCTCCCCCAGGGAAGTAAGAAGTTTTCAAAACACAGAACTCTTTTGCTAAGAGGGAGTAGTTGCTGCATGAGGCAAGGGATCCAGATGACCTCCCAAGGGTTCTGTCCTAACCCTGTGTAGCTTGAAGTTTCATCTGACCCCTGGCCTTTTTTCAGAGCAAAGCAAGCATGCCAGGGAAGAGAGGGTCTGAGGGAAGAGTGTGCAGCAAAGGTGGGGGAGGGGGCAATGGAATCCTCCGGACTCCAAGTACAAGAAAGAAAGAGGTTTTAGGGGGCTCTGGGTATCTTCCAAAAATGTGTGCCCAAGCCTGGAAGGCGGGAGTACCGTCTGGCTGGGAAACTGCTTCAGCAAGGGCTCACTGACCCCCAGGTTGTGGGCAAGAGTTGGGAGACAGACTAAGTCCACAGGCCTTGCTGGAGCTGTCCCCACTGCCCCCAAACTGAGCCCCCTTCCCTCCCATCTCCTACAGCTCCCTTCGGGAGAGGGAGGCACCCTGCCCTTCCCCTCAGCGCCTCAGCAGCACCTACTCAGCAGCTCTCCTGAGAGCTGACATTAACCAGGCTCTCTCCAAGCCCAACCCCCGACAGGACACAAGCTCCCTACAAACAGAAATAACCACTCCACAGCCCTCCTGACTACCCATGAACTTTGCTATCCTTGCCCCCTTTGGGGTCTTTCAAACTCCTGACATGACCATCACCACCCACATCCAGCTGCGTGTGCACCCCAGGACTCTGGCTCCCAAGATCACCTCGGTCTAGCTACCCGTCAGCTGCAGCGGCACCCTCCTTCCCAGCCTCCTCCCAGCTCACAGAACCCAGCCCCCAAAGTCCCCAAAGCTTCCACAGTCCCTGCCCGAGGGTGTGGGGTCTCTGAGCCCCGAGCTGCTCACCTCTTATTCGCCGAATTCCAGTAGACAGGCTCCAGGCTGAGCCCGGACACCAGCCCCAAACACCCGAGCAGCAGCAGGGCCCCGACTCGCACGCCCCCCGGCCCAGAATGGGGGGCCCCCATGACCCCGCCAAGGCCTGGGGGGCGGGGCACCAACTCCCCCAAAGTCGTTCACCTCCTGGGGTGACTGCCTTGGCTGCCCTGGCTATTCTGCCCCGACCTCCCCGCCGGCTGATGCCCCCAGCTCCCACGCGGACCCGCTTCCTGCTCTGCCCGCGCCCCGGTGCGGAGCGCTCAGCCCGCAAGAGCCCTTCCAGGGGCGGTCTGCAGGCACCCTACGCCCCCGGTCCACGCTACAGCACCCCGGGATCAGTGAGCGGGCCTAAGTAGGGGACTGGGGGAGCTGGGGGCCGGGCGGGGGCGGCATGGGGCGCCGGACTAGGGAGTGAGAAAGGGGGCGCCGAGTCGCAGCCCCAGCCTCGCCGGGATTGAGGGCAGCAGGCTAAGGGAGGAAACCAGTCCCGAGCCCAGGAGGGGGGAGTTAAAGGAGAGGCGGGGAGGGGGAGAGGATGGCGGAGGGAAAAACTGGAGCTGGAGCTCGAGGCGGAGCGGGGAACCAGATCCCGCAGCCCACGCCCCCCACACCTCCCTCACCTCGCGCACCTCCCGCCAGCGGTGCTGCCTCGCCCAGCTGCCCCGCCTCACTCCCCGGCGCGGTCTCTCACCCCCTTTGTCTCTCCGACTCTCCCGTCTCTGGCTTAGTTTCTGCTAGTCTCCCCTCCAGCCCATAGACCGCCCGAGCGGTTGGAACCTTCCTCTCTCAAATTCAGAAAGGCTCCCGCCCTCTCCACCCCAGGAGCCCTGCCCATTCAGCTCCCGCAGCCTCTTCTCTCCCACCCCAAAACAACACCGCAGCTCCGGGAGGTCTGGAGAGAATAACAATAATCTCCAAGGCTTCGCAATTTACAAAGTGGACTGAGTTGATCTTCACGACTACCTGTGTGAAGTGGGAGGGGCAGAGCTAAGGATTCCCATTGTAGTTCTGAAGAAACTGAGGTTCACGGAGGCCCAGGGACTTGCCCAAGGTCACATACAGGAAGCCAGAAACCAAGCCTAAGTCATGGAATTCCCACTCGTGGGATCTTTTGTCACACCTTTGGACCTTTTGCTGTTACAAAAGGCAGGATTAGGGGTTAAACTTGGGTGCTGCTTGGATGGTGATGGGGGAGAAATAGGGCCGGGAGAGAAAGTGAGTACCTACAACCCCAATCCACATTCAGCCGGAAGGGCTGTTTCCAATTATCCTGGGGGAAGGGAGGATTTGCCTTTTTGGGTGTAAGAACCCTCACTTTCAGCACCTCTGAGTAGAAGGGACATTCTTTTCCCCTCTCAGTCTTGGGCCTCCAGTCCCTTGTCCCTTCCCTTTGATTGTGAGGTCCAAAACCAAATCTGCTGACAGTATCTCTTTAGAATCGCTCCCCCCCCCCAATCTTTCAGTATTTGGCAAGGTGTACGCAAGGGGGAGGAGTCATTGCTTGAAATAACATACTCACCCCCCCCAAAAAAAAAGAAGACTGAGCATATAAATGGAGAAACAAGGAGGCCAGTGACAGCTGCTGGATGAAAGACTCCCTCCTAATCTAGGGGAATACAGAATGTGACTTCTGTTTTTTCCAGCACCTTTCCTCTTTCATGTGTGTCCTTGACTGGCTACTCAGTCGCCTGCTTCCTGGGGGAGTCCAGGGAAGGGGAGGGAGTGAGTGCTCCTGCTCTCCTTCCCCCAGAGCTGAGTAATGGTCCCTCTGCTGCTGGATGATGGTAAATAGTGTTGCCAGTGAAAGTGAGCGGGTGTCTTGTCTGTCACTGTCTGCAGTCTCACAGTCACACCCGCCAGTCTGACACACAGCTCTTGCCACTCCTGCTCAGCCACACTCACACTGACCTCTGTGCCCCCACCTTGGGAGTGAGATTTCAAACAGGTTCCCCCCTTCAGTTTACAAGTTGCCTAGCAACCAGTCAGTCAATGGCATGAAGTCCCACCCCCACTCTCGTGACTTCACACCCAGTTCAGTAACCCCATTGGCTCCTGCCTTAGTCCCACCCCTAACGCAGGTTTTAGGAACAATATGCCAATCCCTGCTGTCACTGGACAAGGGAGCCCACTAGTCCCCCTCTTGGCCCCCAACTCCGACATTTGTCATCCCAAAGAGACAGGCAGACTCTGATATCACAGAAAACATTTTAATACAAACCTGTCCTCCATCCTGTCCCTTCTCACCCTACTGAACATCAGGGATACTAGTGTCTGACCCCCCTCCACACCACCAGAGCTGAAGCTGACATTCAAGGTGAATGTGACGCATGGAGAGCAGAGGAAGGTCCATTTCCTGCTCGCCTTCATCCCCACTCTCTGTGGGCTCTGGAAACACACGCTGACCAGATGCAGTGGCCAGGAGAGGTAGACTAGGGTGCAAGCTGGAGGGAAAGACAGGGCAGGGGTGGTGTCAGCACCCTGAGTAAGCATGTGTGCTCCCTCAGGGATTCACGCATGCCCCCCTCCACCCCCAAGATCTGTGAAAACAGCTGGTGACCTCACTCCATTGGTGCAGTCCTTCTGGGGCAGAAAACTCAGCACTGGCTCCGGCTTGCCCTCAGGCCCAGTTCCGCTGGTGTCCCACACAGAGACAGCCCCACCAGTGCTGCCACTCACCAGGAACTGCCCGGTCCTGGGGAGAGAGGAGACGCTGGCTGGTATCAAGGCATCTTCCTTAAGGGAGAACTCCCTCAGGGCTCATTACACCCAGGGCTAAGACCCTAAAGCTGGGCTCTGACATTCCTGGAAGTATTAGGGCCTCAGGGAAAAAGGACCGTTGGTCACTCACGGGTCCAGATCAAAGTAGATGCGCTGGTTGGTAGTCACCTCTCGACTCAGGGACCACAGTGGATGACCTGGCTGCCGGAGGTCCCAGCACAGCAGCTCAGCATCCTAAAGACACAGAACAGGGGAACAGGGTCTGCAATCCATCCCTCTCTTCTGCCAGAGTCAAGGACATCCCTGCTTCCTTCAAGGGTTCTGGGCCCTCCTTCAGTGTATTTTTCCCCATGTCCATCTCCCAACACACTCTAGCCCTCAGCCCCACTCGTGGCTACTGCCCACCTGCTTTGGATCTCAGGACATGACACTTACTTTGCGGGCTCCGGAGAAAAAGCGGTTACCATCAGGGTGAAAGCAAAGGTGGGTGATGCCTCCTTGATGCCCTCCCAGCAAGGCGAGAGGGGAGCCATCGTCCCAAGCGTAGAGACCCAGGGAACGGCCATAAGAACCACACGCATAGATGGGCTCGGTTGGGCTGAAAGCTATGCAGGAGATGATGCCACTTTGCCCCTGCTTTTTAGCTAAGAAGGAAAGGAACGGAGGGGGGGGGGGACATTAAACAGCTAGTCAGAGGGGCACCTGTCTCCTATCCCAGAGTTTAGAGCTCAAGGTCTCCCCAACCCCATTTGTCATAGCAGGACAAAGACCTCTGATGCTCCCCAGATTTTTCTATCTCCACAAAGAAATTAAAGCCCAAATCCTACTTTTTCCCTTTCAATTTGCAATTTTTCCTTAAAGAATAGAAAGTTGAAGATTTATAAGAAAATGAAGTCAAGTTTACCTCCTACAGATATCAAGATTTTGGAGACCAAAAGATGCACAGCCACAGGTATAGGCCCAAGGTTGAACCAGGTATTTATACCCAGTAGGTTGGCCCTGGAGAAGTCCCATCCTTGAGTCTCTTCTCCAGTGCCCAGCGGGCACAACCTGCCTCCCAGGGCTACCCTGAGGATGAATGTACCCCACACATGGCACTCTGCTTACACAGTCCCCAGCACATGGCAGCACCCTTTTCTCCGCCGCCCCCCCTCCCCCCACTTGATAGATGCTTACCAAATGTGGCTCGGACCTCACAGTCTCGGCCAGGTCGGGCCGTGGGGAAAATCCGCACAGTGCGGTTGAAGCCACAGAAGAGCTGGGAGCCATCAGGGGAAAAGCAGAGCGAGTGGGCTGCTGTCAGCTCATCCTGGGGGCAGAAGAGGGCTGAGGACAGGCCAGAGCTTCAGCCCTCCTCAAAGAAGGAGAGCTGGGCAGGACAGGCCAGGGGCTGGGCAGAGGTGCGTACCAGGTGGTTGTAGGCGCGAAAAGAAGCTCGGAGTTCTCCTGTGAATGCATCCCAGATGTGAATGGGGTTCTCCCGGCTGCTGCTGGCCACGCTGAGAGAGACATCAACACTGAGGCCCCGGTGCTGTCAAAGGAAGGGGAGGAAGCCAACTGACCAGCCCTCTCAGCTCCCATCTGAGGCCACACCAACCTGTCCTCTTCCAAAGACCCTAGCAGTCCTTGACTTAAGTAGAAGATCCCTTTAAAACTGTGCGGTGCTCAGCACAGGCAAAGGACATCACTTACTAGGAGGTGTCTGGTTGGGATGATGACATCAGAGAATACCAGCAATAATCATAGATGGTGTCGCCTTCCACCATCCGAAGGACAGGGGCCTGGGGAGAGAGGCAGGAAAATGAGGCAGACCCCCCTGGCACCTCTGTAGCAAAACAAAACTACTGGCACTTCACCAAGCAGATGGGCTAAGTAGGAAAAGAATCTCAATGTCAGTGTTAAAGGGCCAGCTCAGACCAAAGCAGCACAGATTTATTCTTCTGGTTTTAAAATACAAGAAGAAAAAATTAAATTCCAACTCAGAGACAAAGAAGCAGCAATGATAAGAATACTATGTAACTACTATGTGCCATCTGGTTCTATAAAAAAATTATTAAACAGTTCAAACATGCAAAGTATTAAAAACAAAACCAAACCCGTGACTCTCCCACCCTCCATAAGAAATTATGTGTATGTGTGTGTGTGTATCTATACTTATTTATGCATACAGAACTGGGGGTACATGCTAGAGGTGCAGGGGCAGGGAGAGGATTCACCAGAGACTGAGTGGGGAGCAGAGCAGGCTGATAGAGGAAGTACACTGCTGAGGGGAGCAGCAGGTGGGACAGGAGAGGTCTGCCACACCAAGTGGGTCAGCCCCCTGGCCGGGGATAGAACTCATGCTGCAGTGGCTGTGGCTAGTTTCACAGGGCTGTGCTTTAACCCGCTGCACCACCATGGAGGGTCTTCACACATTTCTTTAAGAACACATATACATACAGAGAAAAAGCAATGTATAGCTCAAAACTACAAGGGATACTATTTCACACTCACTGTACTTTCTTTTTAAAGGTTTATTTAGGGGACCTTCCTAGTGGCACAAGGGGTTAAGTTGCAGCTCTATCAAGCTATCAGTCACTCACTGCAGCCCAATTTCAATCCCAGGCCAGGGAGCTGACCCACACGGTACAGTAGACCTCTCCTGTCTCACCTGCTGCTCCCCTCAGCAATGTATTTCAGTGGGTCTACTTGTTCTGCTCCCCACTCTGTCTCTGATGAATCTTCTCACCTCCTGCATCTCTGGCCTACATCCCAGTTCTTGCATGCATAAATAAATAATTTTTTTTTTTTAAAAAAAGGCTATATTTTACTTATGAACTATTATTACTCAACTAAAAAAAAGATGAAATCTTGCCATCTGCAACAACAGGAAAGGATTAAATTAAATGAAGTAAGACAGAGAAAGACAAATAATGGATAATTTACTCATCTGTGAACTATAAAGAAACAAAACAAAGGAACAAGGCTATACAAAACAAACCCTAAAATCTGACTGCAGAATTGAGGCTGGGGTGGGGCGGTGTGAACTTTCGTGGAGGGTTAGTGCCGCTTTGCTGGCGTGCATGGCGTACTCACTCACTCCACAGAGCCGCGAGTCTGCGCCCCTGCATCCCATAGTGCTTATAAAACAATGTTACCCCAATAAAAAATAAATAAAAGGCAACACATAGTATTCTCCTACATGCCTTTAAACTTTGCACAGAATCAGCTTCACCTCCAATTTTCTACAGGTAACAAGATTTAGGAAACCAAACGAAGCTCCACCAGCAGAGGCTGTGACGGGAACGGCCCCCACTGCGCATCCTGTGTGGCTGTGACAACAAGGCGGCAGCTCTCGTCAGGCAGGGTCACTGCTGTGCGGCACCCCCTCACGCCTCACTGCTGACCACCACTGCCCCCCTCATGTTTGGGCTGGTGTGCTTTAGTATTTGGGTCCGCATGCAGGAGGGTCTCTCTGAGTTTCTGCTTAAAGTGGGAATGTGTCTCTACCACATTTTTTCCAGTTTACTCTCCCACCAGCAGTGTAAGAACCTGTTGCTCTGCATGCGCCCTGCCACACTTCTTTTTTAAAAAAGGCTTATTTATGCATCAAGAGGTGGGGTATAGGCCAGCGATGTAGGAAGGGGACTGGGGGGCTGGATTCACCAGAGAATGAGTGGGGAGCAGAACAGACAGATCCACTGAAATACACTGCTGAGGGGAGCAGTGGGAGGGACAGGAGAGGTCTGCTGCGCCCTGTGGGTCAGCTCCCTGGCTGGGACCAAACTGGTGCTGCAGTGGCTGCAGAGAGCTTCATAATACTGTGCTTTGACCCTCTATACCACCAGGGAGGCCCCCTATCCTGCCAGACTTCTGAATCTTTCTCAGTTTGAAGGCTGCGAAGTGGTATTTCATTATGCCAGAAATCTGCATTTCTCTCATTATGAGTGAGGTTGTACATTTTCCATGATTATTAGTCATTTAAGAACAACCTTTTATAAGTTGTCTTCATCTTTCAACTATGTGGTTGTCTTTTTCTTACTGAACTGAAGGGAATCTTTAAATCCTCTAGATACTAGTCCCCCATCAGTTACTTGCCAGCCCTCAGGTGACATCGCCGAGCTACGAAATCACTTTTCACATCCCATCCTGAACCGTGTATCCGGTGCCTGACGCAAAGCTCCACCTGGGACACCCCACGGTACTTAGGACTCAACGGGTCTGTAATGAAGCCGTTTCAAACCTGCTGTTCCTCCTGAGCTCCACACTCAATTTTTTAGGACAAATCTGCGCACCAGCTCCCACTCCCTTTCCACTTCTCGTGCCACCTAACACTAAATCTTGCCAGTGCTACCTCCTAGAGATCTTTAGAGCCTGTCCACTCTCCTTCATTTCCACTCAAAGCCATTGCCTCCTTGTGAGCACTTCTGCAACACTCTCGTTCTCTGGGCCTCTCTGCACCCCCACACTCCTACCTGCCCATCACGCTCCACACTCGGGGCACAGACTTTGTTCAGTTGGAATTCTCCTGTTTAAAACATTTCAACGAGTCCACATTACCCTCAGTGTAAAATCCAACCTCCTTACAAAGACATCCCTTACCAGGCACCTCCCCAGTAGCCACCTCTCAAGGCGCCTGCTCTACCTGCCTGTAGAGTCTCCACATCCCATCATTCTGATTCTCAGTTCCCAGAAGGTGTTAACTTACTATACTCTCAAATTGTGGGTTTGAGAACACTCATCTCAAGTCTGGAATATTTTTCTTTCAAGCCCTTCTCCCCCCCCATCCTCATGATGGAATCTTAATCATCCTTTGGCTCTCTTAGATGCTTCTTCCACCAGGAAGCCTTCCCTGACCCTCCAGCTGAGCAAAGATCCTTGCTCCAAGTTCCCATATCCTCTGTGTCCTCACTCTGCAGCACATGTCTCACAAGGCAAGAATCACGTTTGTCTATACCCAATATACAATCAGCAGTCAATTAAGCCAAGTTTTCCTGAGTAACGGAAATGGCATGGTTGTGCCATGCCTCTGTTCCAGGAACCCGGGCTCAGACTGCCTTCTGCCTTACCCAGAGACTGTCTGCAGCTCCAATCCCACTGAGTTGCGTGTCAGGTAAGTGTCCAGCACTATCCCCGGACTTAGCCCCCTTTTCTTTAAGGAAGAAAACCATGCACACTAGGGAAGCTCTGGTCTCCGAGTCCTCTCGACACCACTGCCCATTCACCACCACTCTGCACACTGACTCAGCTCACACCACGCTCCACTCTTCCTATCAAATCCTCTGAGATTTCTACTCTAAAATCTACAGCTCTCTTACTTCTCATCTTCCTCCTTCACCTACAGGGACTTGCCTGACCCTGGTCAACACTGTGGTACTCTCAGGTTCAAAGGTCTTTCATTTTCGCCCTTCTCACCAGGGACCTAATCCAAGTGGCACAGCAGACCTCTCCTTACCCGCCCACTGCTCCCCTGAACAGTGTAGTTCGGTAAACCTGCCTATTCT